TGTTGGAGGGTATGCACCCCCACCCTCACTGCTCCCCTCAACTTCCCCAAAATGAGGGGGATCTCAATTTGGAAGGTGATAAAAAGTCAAACATTTATCTATGTTTAACATTTTATACTTACTGCTGAATGTGTAAATGAACCCAAATAAATGTTTGTTTAGACTGGGTCTTTCTCCATTACTTTTTTCCCCAATTTGTTTCTATGCACAGGGATTTCAGAAATCAAAACTCCTTGTCTATCAGTATTTTTGTTTTTAAAAGCCTCTGTTTGCTTTAATCCTCCAGGAAAAACAAAACAAAACCCTCAAGAGGCACTATGGAAGCCAAGGTCCAAGGCTCACAGATAATGCATACATCCTTAAACTAAGCCATCCCCACTCTTCAAAATTAAACAACTATTTAATAAAGCCACCCAGTCAATCCAAAGTTTACTTTTAAATATATTTAAAACAAACATCTGCGTTTTCACACAGGCTGCACAGCAATCCTAGCCTTCCTGTTTAGAAATCTGCTGGTCTAACAGACCTCTTTGAAGAAAGTGTTTCAAAACCAGATTACAAAGCAGCTGTCCCAAGAGTTCTAAAGCAATATAAACCTATTTTAATTCATGTTTTTGTAACAGATGGTTTGGTCTAAAAGCAAGCAAAATTACCACTCATCTGGTTACCTGGTCTATGTACAACTGCCCATTGGTGACCACAGGACTGGCAGACATGGGTATGGCAAGAAATTCATTCTGTCTAATGGAATAATTATTTTAGGGGACGGGAACACTTCTACAAAAATGGTCTCCCAGAAAACACCTCCCTCCCTGATCCATTACAATAACACTGCTGCCAATACAATATATCTTTTTAGTTGTGGATAATAGTCCAAGCAATTGAGGTTATTATGTATCATTTTTTGTTTGTTAAGCTTGTGGTGATTTTAGCATATCCTCACCGTACATGTTATATCTCAGATTTCTGCAAGGCTCTGAGTTAAGCCCAATGCAGGAAATGGGGCAACTCATTTACACAAAACGCAGCTACACTACAGCGCTAGAGCTATGAATACAAAAGTTCAGTATGTAGTCTGTATAAGAAGCAATATTGTCAAGCCAGACCGAAATTAGAAGATGCCACCACACCACAAAATACTAGGGAAATAAATAAACAGCTCTCCAAGGATTGCTCCACTGGAAATGCGCCCAAGTTATCTGCACCCAGATAAATCTCTTATCAACCTTAGACACATTGGAACATGCCTTTATTTGAGTCTGAGGTTCCTACGAGCAAGCAGTTCTTCTTTCAGAAAATAATCTTTGCACATAAGTCATTGAGACCCAAAATAAATGTTTTGTGCTTAGCAAAGTCACAATCTGACCTGAGGAAACATGGAGCAAAAAATTCTGTGAAATGCAGAATGCATGCACAGGAACTTAACTGTCTTCCACTCTCATTGAAATAAATTGTTCCATTTACACTGGAAATGAATGGCTGATCAAGAAACATGCAATAGCAAATATTAACAACCCAATTTAGAACATTATCAGCCCAATTCTATCCATGTCTACTCAGAATTAAATCCCACAATTCAATGAGACTCATTCCCAAGTGAATGTACAGGACTGCAAACATGCAGTCTTAAGTAACTTACTTACCAGGATGTTCAAGCAATATTGAACTCAGTAAGATTTACTTCTGAGTACATGTACAACATTCTGCTTGTTGGAAATATTTCTCCTTCTCCCACACACCCCTCGGTATTCGTGAACTTGTCCATTTAATTCTTCACAGTCATAATATTATTTTATTATTTGTACTATGATTTATATTCTATTTTTGTACACTGCTTCAGTATTTTTTAAAATACAGAGCATCTTATACATTCCGAAGAATACATAAATAAGAACAATCATTGCAGGTCTTATGAGAAAACATCCTTTGGGCAAAAAATATGCCAGTGTGTGCTTTGTTTTCAAAATCTATCCAAATCACTACTGTGTCTTACTGATGATGGCTAAAATCAATTTTATTAGCCCAGACAGCTAATTTTAATTAGCAGATGATGAAGAAAAGACAGGAACATTACTTACTGTATGGAAACCACTCCAGTTCATCATCCAAACAGGATCTTTAAATTCTACCTTTCCACTAAGGCAAGCAAATCACAGCACTTAAACACAGTATTTCAATAGGCTGTCTAAAAGAGTTCAGGTATTACAGTTCACTGAAAACTCAGCACAGCACTTTAAAAATGAAAGGGGGGAAAGCATGAACAAGACCTAGCAACTCCAAGCTGTGTTCTTAAGCCACTTAATTGGTATTAAATATGGGAAATGGGACTTAGATTACAATGCAATATGTTATGGATCATAGTAACAGAAAAATCACAAGGAACTGGATCCATAATTGGAGTCCAAGAAAACAGCAGCAATTAGCAACCCTATCATAAGCATTAGAGGATAAGCTCATTGCCTACAGGGATAAGGAACAAATCCCACAGATGAATTCTACGTGCATAAGAGCCTCCCTGAAGTGTGTTTCACAAGTTTTGCAAACGTAAGCAAAAGTATTTTGCCTTTTAAGAACTTAGGCATTCTGCTGTTTAGAGAGGAAAGTTAGATGAACAGTGTACTGCAAGACATGTCTACTCAGGCATAAATCCTGGAGAGCTGAATAGAGTTTACTCTCAGGGAAATGAAGAAGCCATGCTGAATACAGTGGAGTTTGCTTCCAAATAAACTGTATGTGACCCAGTGCTTTATCTCAACCAAGTGCACTACTGAAACATGGCTCCTTTTGAGATACATCTTCACAGCTGAATGTCTTCAAATGAACCAACACAGACAGTGTTCCAAGAGAAGACCTCCTTAGCACCAAGGCCACACTGAAAATATCATTTTGATCAGTAGATAGGGTAGTCAGTTGAAAAAGAGGACAGGGTACATTCACCTTTAATAGAAGAGAGAATTTCAGCAGGTGTAGCAGGAGAAACCACGCCTGCTGAAAGTTCCTCCTTCTACACAACTATTAAAGATGCAGGAGTCCAGCCAGATAGGCATTTTATCCACAGGGCTACAGAAAAGCTGCATCTTATTTCCAAAAGCCACATGTGACACAGCTTCCTTTGCTTTTCAAACTTTTGTTGCATATAACGGACACTGTTTGCATCTTGTTTCCACAAATACTGCAAGTGTCATGCACGAGCTAAGTTTGGTGAACATGACACGCTTTATTCTCTGATACTGCTGATGTAAATGCTTCCCCCCCCCATGAAATGGAAACCTTGACTCAATCTCTGAAATATATTGTTGTAGACTTTAAAGAAAAGCATAACCCTGTATATATAGTTAGGCTACTTAAATCCTCAAGGGAATGAATGCAAGCTTGTGTGCTGAGATTTAAGTAGTCTAACTTTTGGGATAACTTTCTCAATTATCCCCAAAAGATGGCAGGTTTTTCAACCTGGGCTAAATGCATATCTGCAATACAAAGGGGACAGTATTCCATTCAGATATGGCATCATTAAGCACTGCCACCAATACTATTTATTGTGTGTATGCATAACTGGATGCCCCTGGTGAACATGATTATTGTTACTACTACTACATGCCTGATTACCAGGTTTGGGGACCAGCGTTCAAAATATGCATCCCAGAAAGTGTTATTAAGGAAAATCTGTAGCAGCGAAGAAGAAGGCAACACAATAGCAACCTCCAAGAAACCACTCTGTCAAATGGTACGCTTTTATCCTTGGGGATGGCTCCCAGTTCCTAGTGAGAAGGAATCATTTTCATTAAATAGGTGAACTGGGGCAGCTGTAGCCCAGGGGCAGGCAATGTGATGCCACCCTGATGATACTGAGCTATAACTCCCATCAGCCCTGACCATTGGCCATGCTGGCTGGTGCTGATGGGAGCTGTAGTCCATAAAATAAATAAATCTGGAAGGCACCATACTGGCTACCTCAGGTGCCCAGGAAGCTGCTAAAACAACAGGCCCTACCGCTAAATCAGGAGCTGGCAACCCTAGGAGTCATTTACACTCTATAATAATCAACTAAACATCATGTTTTGGAGTTCATAAACATGCATATCTTGAATACGTTCATCCAGTAACTAGCACTCATTGAGATCTATGGATGTATAAATTACCACTCATGAGAATTATGCTATGTTGCAGCTTTCTCATATTGCTGAGGTTAAGCCTCTACAGAATGTCAGACAAAATCACCCATCCTGATGCCACATTTTGCTTCTCAGAAGCCTTACCAAAAGAGACTGCTTTTTGTTAAGTCCCACTCACAAAAGGCAACTGTTGGCACTTGAATCTTCAAAATGATACAGGGTATTTAAAAACCAATGACCACCACCCAGCAGCCTTTCTCTAATGAGACTTCCCTGTCTCTGCTATGGAAAGGATGCATACAAGGTACGATGGGCAAAGTACCTGTGTGTGTGTGTGTGTGTGTGTGTGTACGCGCGTGCATGGAGGATTTTCCTATCTCAGACAAGAAATGGAAGCTCCCACACACACAGGGAGCTGGGTCATAGCCAAGATTAACATTGCATTTCCAGGACACTCGAGCCAAATCATGCAAATGAGAAAATTAGAGGCTTAAAAAATATACATGGTGTGCAATCCACAACACACTTAAAAACACAAGGCTGTAATCTCATGCACACTTACTGTGAGCATTCATAAGATCAGGGTTTGCCCATAATATTTGAATTAAATACAATGCATAAGCATGCTTAAATGTTTCCCGGTATTTCACTGCAAGGCTGCTACAATGAACAGCGAATGTATGGCATTAACTGGTTTATACATGCAGACCTAATGAAGTGGCTAAGAGATTGAGCAGGGGGACTCGAGTTCCAATCACATCCCATTCAAACTCACCTGGTGATCTTAAGCAAGTCACTCTCCTAGCCTGCCCCCACTCACTTCAGAAATAGGAGTCCAAAAATAATACTAATTACTGACCTATTTTATAGGACACTTCTGATAATGATAACGGGTAAACCACTCAAGATATTCAAAAGTGCTATATAAACATTAAGTGTTAATATTTATATAGCACTTTTGAATATCTTGAATATCTTGTGCTGTAGATTTCAACAAGGTCAACAAGGTCAAGTTTTCAGATGATGATCTTCTATGCAATAAATTGATAGTCTTGGATAGGGTAGCCAAATGAAAAATAGGACAGAGCCCTTGCACCTTTAATACCTGTTTAGAAATGGGAAGTCTAGCAGGTGTGCCTTGCATTACAAACTATGCTACATCTGCTGAAATTCCCTCTTCTAAATAACTATTGAGGGTGAAAGAGCCTCATCTCCTTTTTCATTTGGCTACCTGTCTTAAGGTAAAGATAAAGGGACCCCTGACCATTAGGTCCAGTCATGACCGACTCTGGGGTTGCGGCACTCATCTTGCTTTATTGGCCGAGGGAACCGGCGTACAGCTTCCGGGTCATGTGACCAGCATGACTAAGCCGCTTCTGGCGAACCAGAGCAACGCATGGAAACACCGTTTACCTTCCCGCCGGAGCAGTACCTATTTATCTACTTGTACTTTGACGTGCTTTCGAACTGCTAGGTTGGCAGGAGCTGGGACCGAGCAACGGGAGCTCACCCCGTCGCGGGGATTCAAACCGCCGACCTTCTGATCGGCAAGCCCTAGGCTCTGTGGTTTAACCCACAGCGCCACCTGCGTCCCTAGTCTTAGGTATGAGTAAATACAAAACAAGAAATAGACAGTTCTGGGATGACAGCAGATCAGATGCCAGTTCAGCTAAAGCTAGTCATAGATAGGACTGCACACTTACATAAGAGTAAATACCACTAAATACAGGAACCTTACTCCTGAGTAAACATGTTTAGGTTCATGGTGTACACACCACTGAAAGAAATGGAGCAGACAGCACACAGAGGATTGCACTTACTTGGTAGTAAGTCCCATAATGTTCAGTGGAGTTTACTCCCAAGTAAGTGTGCACTGCCTTAAGACAGTTGTATCACCACCTTGTCTCATAGGTTTCAATGACAGTTAAAGTCAACTCTCTCTATATATTTACCTATGATGTAAATTTGGGCTTACTCCCAAACATGACAAAAAGTTTAGCTGGCACAGTAATGAAGTTGGCAAAACAAGCCAAACACTGCCAACCCTGCAGTTTATTCATTTTTAAGATATCATAATAAACTACTAACCTAAAAATTCTCTCTCCCTCTCCCTTACTCAAATATAAGAAGCTTAACTCAGAGAAACGTTTTGAGAGGATCACTTCCCTTTCTTCAGAAATCAGACAGCACCACGCAACCAAAGTGAAGCACTTTTAGCTGTGTTTCCACCAAACATTCAAAGCACACCCACCCAAAGAATCCTGGGAACTGCAGTTTTCCCCTCACTATTCCCAGCACCCTTTAACTAAAGTTCCCACCCAGGATCCTTTTGGGAGGAGTGCTTTAAAGGTATAGTGAGTATGCACCCTTAAAATCTCTCATTGAAATCAATGGGGGTAAACCACAGTGACATTGTGCCCATTATATTTGTAGGTTAAACCATTCCAAACCACATTCACAACTACAGCTCATCCCATCCAAAAGCCCCAGGACGATATATATCATTCAAGGTGCCAGAGTGCAACTCTGAGTTACAGCTCTGGCTCCCACTTTGTGTTGGGTTTTTTTTGTCTCTGGAGGCCAGATCCTTCATAAAAGGCATTCTGGCATTGTTCTGAGTTTCCCTGTGATGTGCATTATACTAAGGGACAAGTGGATAAATACTTTTAAACCCTCCCACAAAACCTTCAGAGGGCAGCAACAACAACAGCTTCTTTTTGCTTTGGGGCTGTCATTTTATCCTTTCCCCTGTCTATTGTAATTACAGATAACGGTAATGGAGGCAGTCGACTTCCTAGATGCTTCATTTTACATGACACAGTTCCTCTTTAGTTTCTCTTTCCCCCCCTAACTGTTAACCCAAGTGAATCCAGGCAGAAACAGGAGAACAGCCACAATTTAAAAGATACATAGATACACACACTAGATGGCAAAGTAATATTAAAAACACTAAGTCGAGCATTTTAATGGAGCCCAGTATCCTTTCGCCCCATCCCCCACTGAGTTCAAATTTTAAAAGTACCCCCAAAAAATATGCAGTGGCCAGCACAAAGCATTCAGTTCTGGGGTTTAAATTATTGCTGTTATTGTCATTGCTTCCTTTATCTCCCCAGTTCATGGAACTACAACTGTTGTTTTTATTTCCAAAATGCTACCTGAAACTCTATACAGGGTCTCTACCTTTGTTCCTTCATGTCACACACATAAATACCTGTACTTATCTGACAAAGTATCTCTCTCTCTCTCTCTCTTTCTATATATATATATATATATCTGCAGCCCGCAAAAGAGCATCTTGTAACTCTGCCAAATTCAAACATCCCCTGCTGAGAGCTGCTGGCTAACAAAGTGAAAGCAAAATACCAACAAAAGTGACACCCTGGAAGGACCCCTGCATTGGAACAAAGGCATTAACCAGGCGATTAATAACGCGGGATGGGGAAGGGTGGGGAAGGGGAAGAGGGACTCGGAGGCACAATAATGCCGGCAGAAACCCGGAAGAGCCCGGCATTGCACATCCCACACTTCTCTCTCTTTCTCTCTCTCTCTCTCTCTTTTTTTTTACCTGGGACATCTGAGGTCTGAGGTTGATCTCCTTGAGATTGATGGCGTGAGGGCGCAGGTTGTTGAGCAGCTGGCAAAGCAAGACTCCATCGCGGAGGGTCTGGGCCAGGTCGAACACCTGCGCCGTGTCCCAGGTCACCCGGTGGTTGACCGGCAGCACCCGGCACTGGATGAGCCAGTGGGCGCATTGCTTCCAAGGCTCCATGCGCGCTCGCCGCCGCCGCCTCAGCCCCGGGAAGAGAGAAGAGACCGCTTTCGCCCGACGCCGAGAACTCCAAAGGCAGCCGAAGCCGCGCGCCCTCCTCGCCTCTCCGCCTCTCCTGCTGCCGCAGCGCCTCTCCTGCTCTGCCCCTCGCCTCGCACGCACTGAGAGGAGCGGCGCACGGAAAGGCAGCCGGGGAGGCTGGTGCGCGTGCGGGTCCCCCTCGCGGCGCAGCAACACAGAGTCCGGCGGCGCCTGAGGGAGAAAAGAGGAAAAAAAGGCAGCGCGCGTGCGCCCACCCAACCCGCGCGCTTTCAGGTTGCCGGCTGCCCTCTGAGGGGACCGGGCGCGCTCTGCTTCACGCGCCAGGCGCAGCGTGGGTTGTGAGGGGCAGAAAGCCAACGGCGGAGGGAAAGCTGGAAAGAGGGAGGGGAGAGAATGCCGGGTCTCGCGCCGGTACTTGCACTGGCTGACAGGACGTTTCCAGCAGCGTTTCAAAGGGCAGGTTATGACCTTTAAAGCCCCCAAACAAAGAAAGGAGAAGCTGTGCGGCTCTCCTGACGCTATTGGACTACAATTCCCATCATCCTTGGCCATTAGCCGTGATGGCTAGGGCTGATGGGAATCGGAGCTCACCAGCTGCTGAAGTAGCGTTTTCCAAACTTGGGTCGCTTTTTTTAGACTATAATTCCCACCATCCCTGTTAGCTGGGGATGATGGGAGTTGTAGTCCCCAAAAAATGGCGACCCAGGTTTTGGAAACACAGGCCACTGGTTCGCCTCTGCACTAAACTGCACTAAACTGCAGTCTAAGGTCACCAACCCAGCACCCTGCAGATATTATGGACCACAACATCCTTCACCCACAGCCAGCACGGCCAATGGGCAAGAATAATGTGAGGTGTGATCGGAAGCATCTGCAGAGTTATCAGGTCGGCAGGCGCTGCCTATACCCATATCAGTCTGACCATAACTTTGGAGGTGGCGCTCATCTGTAAAAGCAGTTAGGCTGCTTGGCAAACTGAACAGGGCCTTTTCAGTGCTAGTCCCCAATGATGCCATTTGATTCCAAGCACTAATTTTAATCTGATCTTAAAGACCCATTTTTTTATCATGGTCCTTGGAGGCTACCCAAGGCTATTGGATATTGTTCTTCAGCTTTAAATGGGTTGTGTTGTTGGTTTAGTGGCTTGTATATTTCTAGGGTGGAATTGGATTTTTGAATTGTTTTAACTGGTTTTACAATTGGATTTTATAGATAAACTTGTGCATGGTTGTAAACTGCTTTGAAAGGCAACTGTGCTTAAAAAGCAGCCTAGGAGCTAATGACCAGAAGGGCTGGTGGTTCACACATGTACATCAAATTTCTTTTCATATAATTACTGTACACTTCCACACTTCTCACAAGAATGATCATGGAGTTTGTTTATACTATTTACAGGCTATCCTATAATATACATTCTCTGGGCAGCTTACAAAGAAAATTGAGTTGGAATAATTACAATAAACTGCATATAAATATAAATATCCAGTAGGCAACCTTAAAATGAACATGTGAGCACCCAAGATCTGAGTGACTGAAATAAGTATATAGCATTTTATTTTGCAGGGGATTTGAAGCGATGTTTGATTTGCCTGCTGAGACACAAAATAGGGGAAAGTAAATAACATGTTCCTGACATAAAATTGATACTTGCTTTTATGAGCAACGATCTTTAAACAGTCAAGACAAAAATAATTGTTTGTTTACAAGCAGTAGGAAGCTTCTGTGGTTATCTAATAATTCCCGCAGTTTATTTATTTTATTACATTTTTATCCATTGTGCTCAAAGAATGCCTAGGAGTAACTCCCATTGAACTCAATGGAGCTTACTGCTGAGTAGACATTCAGAAAATTCCACTGTAAAGTTACAATGTGCCCCATTGAATGTATGGTTCTCTCACCACCACCACCCCCATATTATCCTAACAACAATCCTGTTAGGTAGGTTAAGCTGAGAGAAATAGACTAGCCCAAGGCGACAGAATCAACATCATGAATGTATCAGGGTTCATAGTTCAAAATCTCATCTGTTCAGTTCCTGCCTTTTTTCTGGCAGGAGTCCTGCATGCCAGATTTTTCAAAAGGGCATGTTTTTGCAGTATGAAGATTAAGTAAAGGAAAGCCTTCACTACTAAATTTCTACTAAAACAAAACAGAACAAGGGCACTGTTAGGAAAA